GAGAGTAGTGGGGTGAGGTGGAAAGCAGAGGACTGGGGGATTCCGTGTGTGTGTATGTGTGTGTGTCCGTGTGTGTGTATGTGTGTGTGTCCGTGTGTGTGTGTGTGTGTCCGTGTGTGTGTATGTGTATGTGTGTGTGTCCGTGTGTGTGTATGTCTGAGTGTGTGTGTGTGTCCGTGTGTGTGTGTCCGTGTGTGTGTGTCCGTGTGTGTGTATGTGTGTGTGTCCGTGTGTGTGTGTCCGTGTGTGTGTGTCCGTGTGTGTGTATGTGTGTGTGTCCGTGTGTGTGTGTGTGTCCGTGTGTGTATGTATGTGTGTCCATGTGTGTGTGTGTGTCCGTGTGTGTATGTATGTGTGTCATTGTGTGTGTGTGTGTATGTGTGTGTGATGAAGCGGTAGGTTTGCGGGAGGGGGTGGGAAAACGAAATAACCAGTCTTGAGGTTGATGGTGTGTACGAGAGATTAAATGGGGAGGGGAAGGTGAGTACATGAAAAAAAAAAATTCTGAATCAGGAGAGTGTTTTACCTAGTACCTGTTGCTTTTACGATGGGTGTTGATAGGCGATGGATATTTTGATAGACCGTGTTATCAAGTACAAGACTATATGTTTTTTAAATAGCGAAAATGACAAAACATCGTACTTTTAAAATGTGACAAAAAGCTAACATGATTTGAAAGAAAATGTGTGTATTTATTATTTCTTGAAACAAATATATTATGCAAAACAAGCAAACATTTGAAATAATTTGAAACAGTTAAGTTGGTCAAATATTATGAACAGTTATCTACATAATTAAATTTACAAGTATTTAAAAAAAAACACGAGTATGTTTTTTTTAACATAATTTGTTCGCCGAATTAACAAAAACACATACATATGTAGTAATACACACCAAATTTGCATTAGTATTAATGTTTTGCGAATTTTCTGAGAGCGACCTTGAGATACTTACCCATCAGGCCATTACGTTGACATTATCAACCATACGACCAGCGTTGTGGGGAAAAAAAGGGAAACCACTATTATTACAGCCATTTATATATCAGGTCGGTCAGTTGAAGAGAAAAAAAAGAGTAATCTCCCTTATAACGATTACTAAAATAGCTGCTCGAAAAATCAATACTCTCCAAAACAAAACAAAAATGTGAGTTTACTAACCTAAGAACTACCACGTGACGTTATACAGACCACCAACTGTATATTATATTGTTTCTTTAGAACCACCACATGTTCTTCAACCCCCCCCCCCCCCTACCCCCTAGTAAGACTTACTCCACAGTAAATTATACTAAAAACTGTATCTCTAAAATGAAAATCTATTGAGAGGAATAGCATGTTGTTTCCACATTTATAACAGTTACCATCCTTAATATGTATATAAAACGATGAGAAGCCAGTTTAGCCAACCCATTCATCCGAACATTCAAAACTGTTACAATTTTGCAAAAACTAGAACCAAAATAATATTTAAAAAAAAAACACAGATCAATAAATGAAAAAGCCACCACCCCCACCTCTTTGTGTTATATAATATGTGCACTTTGGTTAATTAATTAACGTGTCGACTATACAGGTTAATTAGACACACGCTAATGTTGATTGCTTTCATTAGATTTATTCAACGATTGGTGTGGGCTAGTATTTCATGCATTACATACTTAGCAAAATAAGAATAAGGTCTTCAATAAAACAAAATTTTTATGTACATAACAATATTTACTTTGAATATGCATTGTTTTATATAATTCATTAGATATTAACTAAAAGTAAATGCGTTGAACGCTACAAAATAAAATGTATACTAGATTTAATGAGATTTGTTATAGTATATAAAGAAAATATTTTTAAATTTATTATAATTTTTCATAACTTTTCCAATCTAAACAAATAATATTGTATGTTAGAAGATTACTTAGTTAAACCATATTTTTTTCACAGATTCCCCCCCCCCCCCCACCCCCAGAAGAAAGTCTACCCCCCCCCCCCCCCAACGAAAGGGATTTATATAGAACATAAATATATACTTTTACTAGTGTCCGCCACCAAGAAAATTTAGCACCCTCTCCCCTCACCCGAAAATATCGAGCGCTCTCTTCCCCCCCCCCCCCCCCACCACCACCCGGAAAAAAGTTTGAAAGAAACACTGAGTTAAACATGTTCACAACGAAAAGATTCCGTCAATAATTACATTCAGATAATACCCTGCCTTTATAGAAGCTTGCCATTAATCACATACAGATTAAACCCTTGCACCAACAGAGTTGCCTAGCAAAAAATAAATTCTAGGCACAGACAACCTGGCGTAGGGAAGGCTATGTTTCTGTTGTCTCCCTTACAGTAGATCAGAAAATAAAACTGATGAATACTTTTTATAAACCCACTGCATGTTGTTGGTTTTGATTATGTGGACATGAGAAGCATTGTGGTAAAAGTTAACTTCCTTTTTTTAAAAAAGAAACACAACCTGATATATATTCGTTAATTTATCTCAAATACCGTTATATATATATATATATATATATATATATATATATATATATATATATATATATATATATATATATATATATATATATATATATATATAATTTCCCATTCGTGTCCGAGATACATATGGCAGATGAATAAAAGTTCTTCCTCTACAGGACTCGTCACATTAAGGGATACCATGGTCAGCACTTTGCTCAGCCTCTTTTGTTTCCCTAACGTCGACTAAAGGACGTTCTACTTATTGAACTCGAGACTCTTGGGTTAGCAGTCTAGCTCTCTCTATATGTAGTCTATATATGGATATAAATATGTCTGTGCTATATTAAACAAATATGTATAAGTAATTAGAAAGTAAATACACGAAGCTCTTTTGAAAATGTTATATAATGTTATGGTTTATTTGAGGCAATGCAAATTAGTCGCTCAGCAGTTTGATTTGTAGAATAATAAACTAATCGGTACGAAAAGTAATTTATGTTTAAGTAATTTATATTTGAACCATGTTATCAGAACCCTATCATAATACTAGTTGTCACAAATATCGTGAGCTCTACAACTCATAGAAATAAAATAACAACTAGCGGATGTCACTCCGCGTTTATTTTTAATCTTTTGTATTTAAAACTAAATAACATTAAAAGCTCCGCCCATAGCCCCTAAAAAGATCGATTATCTTCCTTTACACAGGAGCTAAATAAGGACAAAACCCAACAAGAATATGACATTTTGTCGATAATTTTAAATTAAACGTGGAAACCTTTATAGACATGTAAGAGGCCTTGAGAAAACGTGTATTAAAGTACGCTTTAAATTAAAACAACCTATTTCAATATTAGTTAGCTCTGGGTCTTTAAAGAAGGCTAAGATATATATATATATATATATATATATATATATATATATATATATATATATATATATATATTTGTCTCGGCATTGCACTGTCGACATGAAATATGCTAAACTTTCTTTAATTTACACTGGTTTCTATTCATATGTGGTTTAATCATCTGGAATGTTATACACACTGAACCGCAAGATACGCCTTCATTTCAAAATGTAAATGTTGCTGAGTATTAAAATACATGGAGCAGATCGATGAACACGGAACTCTGGCTTGGAAAATTAGTTTAGTTATTCTAGCAAAGTAAGCAGAAGTTTGAGTCTAACTTTAATATTAATATCTGAAATCAACAAAATCGATGTATAAAACCATCGCCATTGTCTCGAAAGTTTTAACACAAAAAAAAAGAAAAATATTGTATAAAAAAAAATCATTCAACTTCTTGCTGACCCAAATAAATACAATTTAGTGCCATTTTCGTGATAACAAAGCAACGATCATTATGTACATTATCTGAGATTAAATCGAGACCTTCAATAGGACTGGAAGCGATCGAGTTTATGCCAGCATGCTAAATTGAAAACAAGTACAAGTATCAATATAATACGACATCTCAATAATAGTTTGAAACTTCTGAAATAGTTTCATAATTTAAAACTTAGAGCTAAGTGTTGAAAGGTTGTATTTACGTCATCATGTTGTCCAACTATGTTCGACTTCGCTTGCGAAGTACATTGTAGCTACAATGCATGTTACTGTTGAAATGATAAAATTCATACCATCAAACATGTCACACTTGAAATGATAACCATTCATACAATTTAACATGTAACACTTAAGAGATGGTAAATAATTCATTCAAACATGTCATTTATAAGATAACGAATCATTCATACCATCAAACATGTAATCAGGTGAGATGGTAAACAATTCATACCCTCAAACATATAACCACATGAGATGGTAAACAATTCATAACAATCAAATAAGATGTGTCAAACAAACTGAACAGATATCACCAAATACTACATTGCCAGGTCCGAAAGGGATCTTTACTTTTACTTTCTATGCAGAAAATGCTTGTTTACCGGGAAAAATTGCTTCACTATATCATGTTGGCCAATAGAGACATATTGGTGACAGGTTGGCCAGGTGTGACAGGTTGGCCAGGTGTGATCGGTTGGCCAGGTGTTACAGGATGGCCAGGTGTGATAGGTTGGCCAGGTGTAATAGGTTAGCCTCAGGTGATAGATAGGCCAGGAGTTACAGGTTGGCCACGTGTGATAGATAGGCCAGGTGTTACAGGATGGCCAGGTGTGATAGGTTGGCCAGGTGTTACAGGATGGCCAGGTGTGATAGGTTGGCCAGGTGTAATAGGTTGGCCTCAGGTGATAGACAGGCCAGGAGTTACAGGTTGGCCACGTGTGATAGATAGGCCAGGTGTTACTGGATTGCCAGGTGTAATAGGTTGGCCAGGTGTAATAGGTTGGCCTCAGGTGAGAGATAGGCCAGGAGTTACAGGTTGGCCACGTGTGATAGGTGGGCCAGGTGTGATAGGTTTGCCAGGTGTTACAGGATGGCCAGGTGTAACAGGCTGGCTAAAAGTGACAGTTACAAATGAAAGGCCATCTGAATCAGACACACACTGTGCGAACAAGTATTGCTTGAGTATAAGTTTTAAAAAGGAGTATTGTTTTCCTTCAGGTAGGAATAGATTGCTGCTGTTTAAAATTTCAAGTCTTTAAAATGCGACAGTTCTAAGTCTTATATCTAGCATCAACTAGTAGACAGACCGTCTATGAACGAGACTCGTTGATCAATAAACAAAAAAATAGCTGCAAGTGTTGTCCTGTGGCTTCGTGCATGAGACAATGGGTAAAAACCTAGTGCCTTTTTTCTAGCACCAACAGCGTCATTGTTTAGGTAATACCTCACCTTCGTCGAGAGGAAATACAGTTGGGTGATTATTCGATCACGGTTCAAGAATAATTGATCAATACTGAACATTATCGATCGGAGTTGAAGGATTATTGATCACAGCTGGGGGATTAGTCGATTATCTCCAATGCAGTAACTGAATGAGTCATGGTGAGTCCACCTATCCACTGAGAGGTGTGGGTCAGTTAGAGTGCAGTTGGTCGCGTGGTGGTGGATGTGAAGAGGGACATCCGGTGGAAGCGACTTCGAAACTTGAGAGCACTGTGGATAGACATAGAGAACAATTTATTAGAGCTTGCACTAGTGCATATGTTTTAATTTTAAGCTTATAGTACTTATGTGCCACAATACAGCTATCTCTCTCTCACTATATATATATATATATATATATATATATATATATATATATATATATATATATATATATATATATATATATATATATATATTGTTAATGTATAACCGTTAAGATTTTCACCTTGCTAATAAAAGAAAAGTTAATATTTGTAACTTGATATGTTGTTGAAAATAAGGTTTTTTTTGGACATTTCATTTTTTTTATAGACTAGACAAATTTGAACTTACGTAGATTAAACCTAAATTTGGTTAAATGTTGGTAAAAAGGTGGTTTTTAGTAAAAAGACTGCTTTCAACAAATTATTACAACAAATATGTATTTAAAGAAAATAAACGAATCGCATTAAAATCATCGATAGGAGAATTCATACTATCCTTTTCGTTTTATTTTTTAGAATTTAAAACTAAAAGTAAGAAACTCAACTATTATTAACAACATTAACAGCAAACGAGAATGTAAGAAATGCTCTTCATGTCTAGCTACTTTTGAACTAGTTAAGTGGTACGTGTGACGAAAATGAAGAGAACGGAAGTATGTATATCAAAGACTCACAACGTGGACTGTTCAGGCCGTGCGTGTTTACACGTCCACATCCGGATAAACTGTCTCCTAAACTTCCGCGCACTCAGGAAGTAGAGGTAAAAGTTTAGCGCATGCGTGGAGTCAGCCAGTACGTAGGAGACCTGACTGAAGAGGTACTTGATGGCGTAACCTCGGGTGAGTACCGTTACGGGCCAGTATGTCTGGGAGACTGTTAAGGCACACGCTGGGAAGATGAAAATGACAAAAACGAGGGTGGAGGTGAAGAGCATGAGCATGATCTGCCGCTGGGTGGAGTTGTCTGTACTGGTGGATCTCCGCGGGGAGGAAGAGCTGTTGACGTTTCTCAGGGCGTTTCTCAGCTTGAATGACTGACGGATGACTCGCAGGATTAGAACGTTGAACAAAGCGAGACAGATGAACGGAATGAAAGCGAACAGCGAGATATTTGTCCAGTGGAGATACGACGCCAGTTCGGATGGTTCCGTGTGTACGTTACAGCTAATTGACTGTTCGTCGTAGTACGCCATCCACAGTATCGGAATGTACATCGCCGCCAGGATAAATCCGATAGTGATGTTCCACAGAACAGATCTTCTGTAACCCAGGTATTTTTGTATCTTCAGAGGATACCTGACAGCGACCAGGCGCTCTACCGCCATCATAACTAAAATCCAATTGGCGTAGGAGGTAAAAAACGTCGCGAAAAACAGCAGCGATCGACATCCTCCAGTCCCCACCTCGTTTTTATTATTTAGCAGCTGGTAAACGGTGATTTTGAGTATAATAGCCAAATTATCCATGACGGCTAAAAGTACAACGTACATAGTAAAAGAACCCAGTCTGCGCATGCGTGAGATTGTGATAATGGTCGAGAAGTTTCCGGGGAGACCGATGAACAATATAATCCACAAGTAGTACTTGTTGATGAAGAGAACGACACTCATGATATCGTAATAGCCATCTTCGGCGCTGTAGTCGTCGTAAGTCCCGTTGTTTGGCGAGGCTTCGGTCATCGAGGAATTGCTGGTGGCCATTGTGGTGGTCACTCAGTGTTAGTAAATTAAATTCTCATACAATGTGTAAACAGCGTTAAATATTTTTCAAAAACTTTTGAAAGCAGCTCTCAAATACAATCTGCGGAGTAGAAAATATTATTTATGAATATTAACAAAATATTTGTTTACAATTGTGTTAGTGTCTAATTAGAATAAAAATTGTCACTCATAAATATATCTGTTAAGATTGATATAAAACAAGGGTGGCAAACTATCATCATGCTTTTAGAATATTTTTTAAACATGTAAAATAATTATTTCAGGTAGTGTATAGTTGTTAAAACTTATTTTCAATAGTTTTTTTAAATAAATCTATATCGGGGAAAATAACAAAAAAAAATCATTACATCAGAAAAACAAACAAATTACTTCCTTTTAGTTGGTTCTCATGGAAGAAAAAAAAATAGAATTTGAAAGTATAGATATGTGGTTTGTTAAACACAATTATTTTAAATACTACCTTCATTTTTAATGCCCTAAATGTACTTTTTACTATTTATTGTTTTAATCAATAATAGGTCAGAATCCGTTCCTAATTGTCCTCATTGTGTTTCGTAGTAAGTTTTTCAGAATAGCCAGTGCAGAGCCTGGCCGGTACGACGAGTTAATATCCAAAATACATCTTAGATTTCTTCAGCTAGATATTGTTAGTTGCATAGGTAGGATTTTGTCATATTATGTGTTGTCAAAAAATGGTTATTGTACGCATAAATGTCATGCAAATAACTTATGCGGCTTTTGCTGACACTGTATGCAGACATTATATGCAGTCATTTTATGCTGATATTGCATGTAGACTTCATACTGACACATTATGCATACACATTGAAAGATATTATGTGCAGACATCTAATGCAGGAATTACGTAGATAACTTGGAAATGAGAATTATTGATTCACATTAGCCACCGTATTAATCAGATATACTTCTTCATCTGCGCTCTTAATGTTAGTGTTGGAAGAGATTGCCTCTTCCCTTCAGCTATACTCATACCACTTAGCCACTACATTAATGTACTATATTGACTGAATATACCAAGCTTCATATTATGCAAGAATATATTTCCCAGTATATGATACCTTAGTGTGTAGCATCAACTCCTAAAAATGTTCTTTGTATATGTTGCACGAAAATGTAAGACATTGATTACATCCTGTTTTCCAATGCTGATTTCTATTCAAAAATATGTTTTCATATATCCATTACAATTAGCAAGAAGCATCTGTAATTCATAGCTTGCTATGCTGTCCCTAAATATTATATTCGAGAGCGGCATTATGGGATGGGTCCTACTTAATGCCAAAATATAAGAATAATTCAAAATGTAAAGCTATTAATACAAGAACAGTGATACTTTAAAAATTCGATTAAAGAATTATTCTTAATGCATGAAATCAAACTATACAAAACTAATGCGATAAAGAACTATTCTTTACATGAAGTAAACTTTACAAGTACTAAAGTATACAAAAGCTTTTCCATTCAATGCCTTTACTACAGATTATCATTAGCCTTGAGAATATCACTATAGTCCACATAATTCAATCGTGCAGTTCAGTAATTGACCAGTATTCCAAGAATGGAAGCCAGTCTTTAATGTTGGCGTCGATTATGAAACGCTTTCCATTGTTGGCTTTTATGTGAATTGACACCGTGTCAAAGAGCTTTATCCGTTATGCCAGTGACTCACCTGTTCCTGACAAGCTGTATATCTCATCTACAAAACGCTATTTTGTTATTGTTCTATTCATAGTTTCATCATTGTGTAGAGTTAGTTTAGTTTAGGTATTCAGAGAACGGACGGGGCCAACAGCTGGAGAGGCAATGAAGACAAGAGAAGAGATACACAGAGATAGAAATAAGGTGAAAGAAAGAGAGCGATATGGAGAGAAAGAGAGAGAGAGAGCTAGAAAGGAAAGTAAGAAGCTGGCAAATGGACACAAGTGGTGTAGTTCAGACTTTTTTTCTTCGGAAGGGGGGGGGGGGGGGTACAGAAGGGGGGGCGGACTAAAGTTTCAGGGGGAACAGGTGTGGACAATCGTAAAAGTATATATTTTGTAAATAAATTCTGTTTCGTTCTGAGGGAGGTAGGTGTAAACGTACTTAGACCAGCCCCTCTCCCCCGAAGAGATGTCTGAAAGAAACTCTGAAGGACACTCAATTTGAAAAATCAAGATACTACAAACGAATACTGTACCGTCCGAGAACTACACTACAGAAGAACTGTTCTTTGAAAAAATTATGATATACTAAAACTACACCACAAAGTCCATGAACTTTTAAAAAATGTAATCCTAGTCTAGACTCCTGTAAAAAAACCATCTATTAAACAGGATTAAGCCTTGCATTTGAAAACAAAAGAATAAAAATTCATAATAACTCGCACTGTTGTCCTTAAACTATCCACCCGAGGCTTTGTCAGTATACTAGGTAACATACTACACACTCATAATTCGATTATTTAAATAAGCTTAATTAAACCTACAGTTGATACGCTGGGTGGTAGTCACTGCGAGTTAAATAGGGAAGTGTCAAATAATTCGAGTGAGCAGATGTCGTGTAGTCAGTTGGTTTTAATTACAGGTCACAAGTGCTAGGAAAAAAATGCAGCATAACTCAAATAGTTTTTGCTATAGTAACAAGTCAAAATGCTTCAAATTGTGCAAACTTTATTTTTTGCATAAACTTTAAGAGACTCTCTTGGAACGTGGTCTCGGTAAAGTCGAATGAAATGTTTTCTTGGTAAAAAGTCTACCGAATGAAATATTTTCTTGGTAAAGTCGAATGAAGTGTTTTCTTGGTAAAGTCGAATGAAATGTTTTCTTGGTAAAGTCGAATGAAGTGTTTTCTTGGTAAAGTCGAATGAAATGTTTTCTTGGTAAAGTCGAATGAAGTGTTTTCTTGGTAAAGTCGAATGAAGTGTTTTCTTGGTAAAGTCGAATGAAGTGTTTTCTTGGTAAAGTCGAATGAAGTGTTTTCTTGGTAAAGTCGAATGAAATGTTTTCTTGGTAAAGTCGAATGAAATGTTTTCTTGGTAAAGTCGAATGAAGTGTTTTCTTGGTAAAGTCGAATGAAATGTTTTCTTGGTAAAGTCGAATGAAGTGTTTTCTTGGTAAAGTCGAATGAAATGTTTTCTTGTTAAGTCGAATGAAATGTTTTCTTGGTAAAGTCGAATGAAGTGTTTTCTTGAGTAAAGTCGAATAAAATGTTAAGATAATTCAGAGACAGATTACTGGAAAGAACAGAAAATAAAAATAAAATATTATTGTCTGAAAACGAAGCTATGAGTTTCGTAAAACAGAGAAAAACATTCTTTAGTATTATTGTTAGGAGAAACTATCTGATGATTTAGTTTAGTTAACTTTGATTATGACATCTAAAAAAGAAATACAAAACTTTTTTACCAATTTAAATATGTTTTAAGTTCCTGTATTCTATTGCGTGTCAGGCTAATTATATCGATATCAGTTGTTTTTTTTCATCAAGTATCCTCTAGACTCTAGAGTCTAGAGGCCAAAGTATCTACCGCTACCCAAGGCGAGGGGAGGGGGGAAGAAAGGCCCATACCTTTATTAAATAAACTGATACTATTTGGAAGAATCGACTACCTCATACTAAATCAATACGGTTTTTTAACCAATCTGTTTCCTGTTTTGACCTAAATCAGTGGTGCATAATTAATCATACGATACGCTACAAAAAGGTATGATTACAATATATGTAATGTAATATATATTCATGATGCAATTTATAATAATTATGTCTGACCATATATTAAGTTTTGCATAAAATCTACATTAATTTTGCAATTAAAAGCATGTGTGGTTTAGGGTATACATTACAAATTATAATAAAACAACTGGAGATATCATGTGAAAGTGTGCCTGTTTTCCATGTTCTTAATTACATTACGAGCCGTTTCACGTACATTACAAAGCTAAACAAGATGCAAATTTGAACACGTGATATTTGCCGTCACATCATGTTTACCTTGCTCATTTTGCTTAATGCATTTCTGACTGGCATGTTGCTATTTGTAGCAGTGTTTTTAAAAAATGTACATGGAACAGCAACTCTATAAATAGTACAGTTAGCAGAGTTATAAACCTTGTTTAACTTACGTCGCCAAATAGACGAACAATAACCAATGTTGATCTCACTTCAGAATCCCTGACGACAGAAACACTATTACAAGCAGAGTTAGAGCCCTTGTTGTTAGAGACTCTTTTATTAGCAGAGTGAGAGCCTTTGTTGTTCATAACCCCCTGACTAGGAGCAGAGTTTCTTTCAGGCATCTACCGCCCCCCCCCCCCCCCCGAAAGAAATGAAATTTATATAATTTATATAGAAAACTATATACTTTTAACAGTGTCCGCCCCCCCCCCGAAGAAAGTTTACCGCCCCCCTGAAAATTTCAGGTCCCCCCCCCCCCCGGAGAAAAAAGTCTGGAAGAAACACTGACTAGGAGAGTGAGAACTCTTGTCGTTAGAGATACTATTACTTGCATAGTAAGAACCTTTGTTGTTCATGACACCATTGCTAGTAGGATGAACAGCTGACGTTAGGGATACTATTACTGTCAGAGTAAGAACCTTTGTTGTTCATGACACCATTGCTAGTAGGATGAACAGCTGACGTTAGAGATACCGGACCCAACCAGTTATTTAATATCCCGTGCGACATCAGACTTAATGTAAACCATCGAATTTTTTTTTTACATCGGTTTTACGCACTTTTAAACCCATCGTTGAATAAATATTATATTTACTACAGTAAAACGTTCCCTTAATTAGGCCAATGACCTTATTTGATGTTTTTTTTTTTAAATCCACTGATTTAACCAAAAATAAAATTAGCATAACAATGGTACATCAACCGACATTCTAAAATAAAACTTTGACCTACATTTCTATTAAATTAAACTGTTTTCAAAAATGCTCAATCTAGCTTCTATTTTTAACTGAAATTTTCTTCTCTCCAAACGTTATGCGTGCGTGAATCGAATCTCCCTATGTGATAGGACGAGGCTGAAACTACAGGACAGAATAGAGGTCTAAAAATATATCAGTTAA